TGGGATTACAGACATGAGCCACCAGCCAGCTGAAGACTGGCTTTTATTTTTCAAAATGAGCCCCTATGGATCACACCTGACTTTATGGTAATAAGGTGCCTTAGGGCCCTTTAGATGGTCTCTGGATGTGACTGGCCACTAAGTAATTAGAGGGTTGGAACTTTCAGCCCCACCCACTTACTTGATAGAGTAAGCTCTATTAAATTCTATAAAAACTTTTTCTTCTTTAGTCGGAGTCTCAATCTGTCGCCCAGGTTGGAGCAGTGGCATGACCACCACAGCCTCAACCTGCTGGGCTCAGGCGATCCTTCCGCCTCAGTCAACCAAGCAGCTGGAACCACAGATGCATGCCACCGTAACTGGCTAATTTTTTTTGATATATTGTAAAGACAAGGTCTCGCCATGTTGCCCAGGCTGGTCTCGAATCCCTGGGCTCAGGCAATCTCTTGCCTCCACCTCCCAAAGTGCTGGGATTACAGGCATGAGCTACTGTGCTTGGAGTCCATAAAAACTCTTGACCAGCAAGATTTTCTGTGTTCCCTGCGTTGCTGTGCACCTAGAGGTGCTGGGAGGGTGGCACACCTGGGGCAGACAGGAACACCACTCCTCACCCTAAGCGTCCTTCCTCTGACGGTCCATCTGCATCCTTTATGATACTCTCCATAATAAATTGGTAAACATAAGTAAAGTGTCTGGCTGAGTTCTGGGAGCCATTATAGGAAGTTTTTGAACCTGAGGAGGGGGCTGTGGGAATCCCAATTTATAGCTGGTTGATCAGAAACACAGACCACAAACTGGGGTTTCCAACTGGCATCTGAAGTGAGGAGCAGTCTCGTGGGTCTGAGCCCTTGGCCTGTGGGATCAGATGCTTTCTTCAGGCAGATGATGGGAGAATTGAAGTATAGGGTACTCAGTTGGTGTCTGCTGGAGAATCGCTGGGCATGTGAGAAAAAACCCATATTTTGGTGGCCAGAACATTGTGTGTGTTATCTCCAGAGCCTTTGTGTTACCCTTACTCTTTTTTTTTTGAGTTGGAGCCTCACTCTGTCGCCCAGACTGGAGTGCAGCGGCCGCTCCCGGCCCCGCAGCCTCGACCTGCTGGGCTCCGGCAGCCTCGAC